CAGCCATTTGGCTCTGACACTGATTTCTGCTCTTGTAAGAGTCAGGGAACACATCTTTAGCAGGCTCTTGTTTTTATTAGAACAAAGGCATCAAGTTGCCACCTTAACTCCAATAATGAACTCCTTGGAGTAAATTCCTTTTATTTCGCTTAAAGTGTGAGCAGAAAGCCTGGTCTTGCACTTTTACCTTGGGGCTAAAGCTGAACAGGGTGGGAACTCAAGGATCATGGAAACTCTCACTGCTTTTAGCTTCCCTTTGAGAAGCCTACCTCCCCCTCTGCCTTCTGCTCTCCCTCACTCCAGACCCCTTCTCATTGAATGCTGAATTCTCTTTTCTTCCCAAGCCTGCATTTTCCTCCAGAATTTCCACTGATATGAAGTGTTAAAGCCAGATCTGGCTGTGATTTTTGCCCCCGTGGGGAAACATGCATTACAGGAACAACTAACCCTTTATAACTTGGGAGACCCTGGGGGCTTGATTGCATTAGAGTCATAGAGCCATAAATGTCCAGCCATATATCACCAGGGTTAAGTCATTTTCAGCATGAAATGATGTAATCCACTTTAGACACAGCCTCAAGCCCAGGGCCCTTCACTTGGTAAGTGTTCAATAAATACTTGACATGTATTTTATTAATTTTTATTCTTTCAAATATAAAGAAAAATGATATTGTAGGTAACACTCAGTTATCTGTAAAAATAATTTAGTCAAAGTCTTGCTTTCTTAGTTGTAATGCTTTATTCATCTTCGGGCAATGCTGAATGAGTTAAATATCATTACACCATTATGGTGTTCCAAATATTGAACCTGTGCAGTAAAGACACAGTAATTTGATTTAGTTGAAGGAGGAGATGTATGTTTACATTTGTAGTACTTTTGTAGGTTATTTTCTTCAAATAATGTGAATGCATATCAAAATCCAGGTCCTGTTTAGGGCGCTCATCATGATTTGTGTGTTATTAGTATGCCAGAAAACCACTTCCCTTAACCTTGACTTTTCCTGCTCTTTTTGTGAATATAAACTTGCATCACACTTATTTCACTAAGATGTTCTCTGATAATTTTTGTTTGTTATTAAGTTAACAGTGATTTTATTGACCCTTGAATGATATGATTTCCTTAAATATAGTTCAGGCTAGCTTGTGTTCAAATTAGCATATATTTTTAGATTAGTGGCATTGGAATTAGTGCATGACTTAAATGAAAAATAGTATATTTTATTCATATGCCAAAATTCTCTGTGCTGATCAGAACTGACCTCTGGGTATGTGACAGGACTAGACTTCCATATGTTAGAGGAAAGAAATGGGGAGGGGCCTCTTAATTAGTTTATTTATTTTTAAAGATTTATTTTTTATTTATACAATAGGTGAGGTACAGACCAGAGGCACAGGAGGGTGAGATGATTCTCCAGAGACAGAGTGGGGAGCAGAACAGGCAGACAGACGGAAAGCACTGCTGAGGGAGCAGCGGCACGACAGAAGAGATCTGCCACGCCATGTGGGAATCTCCCTGGCCAGCTGGGAATCGAACCCATGCTGCAGAGGCTTCACAGGGCTGCGCTCAACCAGCTGCACCACTGGGGAGGCCCTACTTTAGTTTATTAAGGATCCCAAGGCACCTCTTAGCATGGTAGAGGTGATGTTACCCTTATGTCCTGGACATAATCCAGTTTAGGTAATTGCTAATTACAATCTGTCTACCTAATTCCCCTGACTCTTGCTTCTCAATGTTATTTTTCTTTACTTAGCAATATTTAGCTATTATTTGTTCCTGGTGAATGACTGTTAGGACATCTGCTGACTTCCACTTTTTTGTTCAGTGTGATTTGTTTTTTCTTTGTTTTGATAATATTACTGTTATATTTTCATCATTCTAGTTCTGTAGACAGTAAACAAAAACCATCTAAATATTTTAGCTGCTTTTAACTACTTAGGCTGGCATGTCCAAGGTATAGACTTCTATGAGCCATATTTGAGAATTTAGAACCCTAGGCACACTAATTGCCCATAACATACTAATTATAAGGTTCTAACAACTCAGAAAATGTATAGCATGTTCATTGTCCTCACTTCTAGGGCTGAAATCAAGACATGTAGAGTGGAGACAGATGAAAGTTAGTTCACAAATAGACCCACCTAAGTCTCTATCATGTTCCAAAGGCTTTCCAAAATAGGAATCTCTATTTGGGGGACTAAAACTCACTTTAGGTCCTTCCTGGTGGTGCAGGGGTTAAAGTCTCATCACTAGGAAGCTACCCACAGTCACTGCAGCATGATTTTAATCTCTGGCCAGGGAGCTAACCCGCATGGCACAGCAGGCTTCTCCTGTTTTGCCTACTGCTCCCCTCAGCAGTGCATTTTCAGTAGATCCACCTGTTCTGCCCCCACTCTGTCTCTGGTGAATCCTCTCACTCCCTCACCTCTAGCCTACACCCCAGTTCTTATATGCATAAATAAATAAAAATCTTTAAAAAAATAAAACCCACTTTGATTCTTTTGATCATTTTTAAATGGAACTAAAGAACACAGAAAGAAAGTGATAGGTCAAAAGGATTTTATTCACCATAAAATTATAGGACCAAATAATAGCCATGTATTCAACAGTGCTACTATGCCTTTGAAGGAAACAGATTATTCCTGAGTCTATTCAGATAGGGACCATTGGTTTGGGTTATATTTACCTGGATTTCAGGTGGAGGGACATCAGGTTTTATTTGTAATCTATCTTCGTTGTGCAAAAATTACTTAAGTGAAGTCAATTTGGTGGACCTTTCTTCATTCCTTAGCAATGTTAGATGAATGAAATATCATTCTCACTATTCAATATATTGAACCCACTCAGTGAACAAAATACTTAGAACTTTCAGGAAATGGACCTCCCTGAGATCATGGATTACATATTCTAAATAGGCCAGACATGTAATTTTGACCTCAGTTTTAATCACATGGAGGAGATTCACCAAACTACAACCTCAAAAAGAGATCCTGACTGGGCCTCCCCAGTGGCGCAGCGGTTGAGCGCTGGGTTGCAAAGCTGCCAGCAGCCTCTACAGCACCAGTTGGATCCCTGGCCACCGGGCGAGGGTCCCACATGGTGCGCAGACCTCTCCTGCCACCCACTGCTCCCCTCAGCAGTGTACTTTATCAGTCTGCCTGCTCTGCTCTCCTCTCTGGCTCTGGTGAGTTCTCTCACCCTCCCGCGCTTCTGACTGTACCCAGTGGTTGTATAAATAAATAAATAAATCTTTAAAAAAAATAAATAGAGATCCTGACTGAATCATCTCTTCAGGGCTAACCAGAAAGTCTAAATGACACAAACACAATTTTCCATATATCTTCTATTTGACTGTGTTTTCGTCAGAGATGGGAAGACTCTTCCTGCGTATTTTATTAATGCATCAAATATTATTTCCTGTGAAACTACCCCACTGTGACTCAGATGCCCAACCCATGACTCAGACAGTGAGGGAAGTAACCTGTTTTGTCAGTTTGTCTTCACTGCTGCTCTTCATATTTCAGTTCCATCAGAGGGAACAAATTGCCTCTATTGTATCTAAAACATTTTTCACTCAAAAGTAGAATTTGAAATGAAAGCAAGTAGTAATGTAATAGAAGAACATTGGCTAATAATTTTATCTAAAAACCGCCATTGAGTTGGATGTGTGGGATAAAGATAATTGTGTCATAAAGTAGTACATTTGCGCATTCCTTGAACCTAAAAATGTTGTTTACAGAATGGATTTTTACCCATGTGATTATGCCTCTCAGACTTTAAAAAATGGATATTTTCAGAATGTTCTGACTTTGAGATCTTAGGCGAGATTCAAATGTCAGAATGACCAAAGAAAAAGCACCCCCCCCCAAAAAAAACTGAAAAGCCCAGTATGAATTTATTACTGAAAATCTAAAGAGACTGTTTGCCTAACTACATAATTCTTGTGACACATTGATATACATCTCCTAACATTACGATTCTTATTACCACTGTATCGGCAATGTATGTACTGGAAATAGTCTTGCCTTTTACAAAGAACACTGGGTAGCTTTGTGATTTAAGAGAGAAAAAGAAACTATTTTTTTTTCATGGACTTTCTTTTTGTGAATGAAAGAATGAATAGGCTTTGCATCCTCAGGTTGCCCATGTTCATTCTAATTAATATAGAAGATACCAATCTTTTGTTAGAAAGTTGTCCGGCAAACTCTGGGTGTGAGTGTTGATTCAGCTTTAGAAATGCACATATTCCCTACATTATCCTCCAATGTGTGTGTTTTTAAAATTTGTGTGAGGAGGATTAAGGAAGGAAAATAAAGGGCTTTGGTTGGGCCCAGTGTGTGTGTGTGTGTGTGTGTGTGTGTGTGTGTGTGTGTGTGTATTGAGAGAGAGAAGGAGAAAGAAGAGAGAGAGAGAGAGAGAGAGAGAGAGAGAGAGGATCAATGAATCCTGAGAACATATTCTAATGCACTAAGAAGAGAACAAACTTCTATAGCCATCAGCAGAGTAAACCTATTACAGTGTCCCTGCACCCTGCTGGCTTGTGGATATAAAGCATTAATCCTGAACATTTGCTGGATCAGTATCTCTACATTAAAACTTCTAAGTCTTGGACCCTAATTCAAGCTCACTTCTAAGCTTTTCTCTACTTCGATGACAGTTAATTCCGGTGGTATCTGAGTTTTCCACATTGGATCACAATTTGTTCTCTCCTATTCTTTTCTTCTCAGTTTCTTTGTGGATGTCTGCTGCCTGTCAATCCACTTGACTTTATATTGTCACTGAAATAACCTCTGCCAGGAGAATGCTGTCTATGTCCTTCAAACTGAAGGAGCTTCAGGGGTCACAATAAAACTTAACCTCCCAAAGCCAAGTGTAGCTCCCCACATAAATGGAAAAAGGTCCTTCTCAATAGTTCTCTAACTTGGCTCATGGTTTTGTTGAAGGACAAACACACTTGTGCTTTCCCCTCATCTCTTGTATCACTTATGTCTGCTGAACTTACCTACAGACTTTTTTCTCAACAAACTCTTTTTCTCTCTTGCCAAACAATGTGTGCAGAGCAGATCCCCCAGATGCTGACTTTCAGGCCCAGAACCCCTTGGCAGCTTTGGAGACCATAAACTTGAGTACCTGAGAATGTGTAACTTGAATAACAGAATTGTGTTTCTCAAAGTTCTGGAAACTGGGAGGTCCAAGATTAAGTTCTGACCAATTTAGCGTCTTGTTTCTGTCAAAACAATGAGTAATACATCAATTGTTGAATTCTAAGAATAGCTATGTTACCATGACAACACTGTTTATTATTTTTATTCACATAAACCTTTCAAATAAGAGCTATAGGTTATTATATATCCTTCAGTATTGTGTTCTATGGAGCTTATTTTGTTTTGTTATTCATGTCAAATGATACATGCACATACTTTCTGTAGTTCATGTAAATCCCTTGAAATTATACTTTTTAACTTTGACAGTGTGAAAAGGACAGTTGGACACTCAGTAAAACTTAAGATATAACAATTGTGTCCCTAAAGAATCCATAGAGTAAATTATAAATATTCAGAACATTAAATTTCATTATCTAATGTTCTTCAGAATAATCATAGTGTCAATCAGTTCTGGATTTGTTTTTGTCAGCATTGATGTGAGTGATCTGTTGATTCTCCCCATTTGTGGATTTGTGTTCACATGGGAGGTTCACAACATCATACTCTCTTGTGATGAGCAAAAGAGTAAACCAGTTCAGAACAACCAGATCTTTTGTATCTTCAGAGAGGAGTAGCGATTAAGTTCATTTATGTTGTTTCAGTCTCTAGAGGAAGAGTGGAAGGCAATGCTAAATGCAAGGCAAATCTACCTTTCATGAACTAAGATTCTAGAAATAAGACATATACATTAATGATAATATGTAACAGGTGGAATGATACATATGAAGACAACAGGTAGTATAGATGGCGGGTGATATGTTTGTTGGCTCAATATAGCTTCTGATAAGGGATTATATTGATAAGGGGTTACATTTTTGACCTGAAGAATGAATAGGAGTTAAATCAGAAAGGAACCATTTATAAGGATGCACATACACTAAGAGCCAAAGGTGTGAACCAAGATTGTATATTTGGGTAAATGATTCAAGATACTGGAAAGTAAATTGTAAGGAAGTCAACCTATTTTTATGAGCAAGACTGTATAGAGTTAGACGAGTCTTGCATTGTTAATGTCTTTTTAGGTAGCTATTTTTCAACTGTCTTCTCTCTAGTGAGAAATTCCTACAGAGTTGATTGATCCAGTCAGGTGGCATTTTTTTTTTTCTTTACCACTATTTGACACTTTAAGATTCCATGAATTTTTAACACAAATGCATAGGGGCAAAATAGATAAGGGAAGGGAAGGATGCAGATTCTGTCATTTAGCAATGACCTTATGTTGGAATAATAGTTCATAAGCATGCAAAGATAGAGTTTTCATGGTCACAGAGTTCTCAGTAATGTTTGGAAATCACAAATTCAAATGCCTAATGGGACACAACTGGTGACATTAAAGAGGCTTCTTGGACAGGTGGATCACAATAGGGAATGATGGAGCTGGAGAATTGGTAGCTCTTCTGTAGAAGGCGTCTCAGCAAATGTAAAATTTTGTGTGGAAGTCTCAATTTGTGGAAGTCACAACAGAGCTTGATACTTTTAACAAGGCACTTGTGGCCTAGCACTGGGAAGGCTGCACCCCAGACATAGCAGCTCCAGTGTATAGGCCACACACCTCCACTTTTGCCTCAAGGGCACTAGGAAGGATGCCAGTGCTTTGTTTTGTGGTTTCTGTGTATTGCTTTAAGAGAACCATACGGAACTCTAGTGTTCTCAGCTGCTTTTGTGGTTACTTGGCCATTCATAAGGCTTATAGATGATAATGAAGTTGTCTTGGAGGGCTGCCATATCCATGATGTAGTTGCTTATCCGATTTTGTAATCCTTTATCAATTCCCTCTACAGCGTGAAGGCCAGGCAGTGGGTATGGAACAGAATGTTAAGTGATTTCCTATCAAGTCCAATTCTATTAGAATCTTCATCGTGATAATAAGAGATATTATTAATAATATCTCTGAATCCACCCCCCTCCCACCATTTCAAGTCTATTTCAGAAGAATTTGCTTATGCCTTGTGTTCTTGTTTTCTTTACTATTCTTCCACCTTCCACTGAGTTCTTGGATTCCAAGCCCCAAGAGGGTAGGCAACAAGCCTATGAAGTTTTCTGTTTCAGTAGCAAACTCAGCGCCATGCACAATTAGGTACTTAATTGCTTTGTGATGACTATGATTGATGATGTTTTCCACATACACCAACTCCAGTGAGAAATATACTTCCCCTATCAGATGGATTGCATATAAATAACTACTTCAAAAATATGACTGCAACAAATAATTCTAAAAAATAAGGTCTTCAAATTTTTGCCAGAAGTCACATTTCATGCACACACACACACACACACACACACTCTCTCTCTCTCTCTCTCTCTCTCTCTCTCTCTCTTAAAAGGTAGAAATCAATGGTGACACCTCTCTCAAACCTATTTTTTGTAAAGTAAGAATGTCAAGTACATGGGGTGTGGGGTGGGGATTGGGAGAAACACCAAATATTAAATTATACAACTTATTTTGTTTTCCTGTGCATGCTGTCTCCAGTACTTCACATGCACTTTAAGGATAATAGCCCTTTGTCTTGCAGCAGCTTACAGATGTGTTTGCAAATTCTTCAACATTCTACATTCAAGGCATGCATAGTCAAACATTCTACATTCAAAATGTAAGACTTTCACTCTTTATTGTAGGCCAGATGTACCGACACGCATCTAATAGATTTAGTAGAAGTGAATGCTTTTGTGTGTGTGTGTCTCTCTCTCTCTTTCTCTTCCCCCCAGACTCAACCTGCCCTCTCCATCCTGGGGAAAACCAATTGTCATTGATGAAGACTATGGGTCCAGAAACAGAGGCCCTGTGCCCACAGAGAGCGCCAACTTGCACCCCTTGTGAGGATACCCTCTGAAAGTGTAACCTCCAATTGTGATCCAGCCTTCAGAAGGCTGCAGCCCTGGTGGACTCTACAACTTTGTAGGAGCTTAAAGCAGAACCTCTTAGCTGGGGCATGCCTGAATTCCTAACCCACAATCATTGTGGGAACTAATGATGTCAACCACTCTATGGCTGGATAATTTTTATACAAAAACAGATAACTAATATGATTCTTTTCTCACAGTGTCATGCAGAAGAGCAAATGAGCTAAGATAAAGCAGTTAGCACATGGTAGTAATTCAATACATCTTAGGCCTTTATTCCTACTTTGCAGTGATCAAACATGATTGTGATTGCATTAATTTCAGATACTTCTATTCCAGCAACTTCTCAAAGTGTAAGGTGAAACCCACTAAAATTAGAGAAAGTACAAGCCTACACTTGTTTAGTCTAAAGCCTCTTTTCTTTCTTTCTTTCTTTCTTTCTTTCTTTCTTTCTTTCTTTCTTTCTTTCTTTCTTTCTTTCTTTCTTTCTTTTTTTTCTTTCTGCTTTCTAAAAATTTTATTTATTTTTACATAGAAGAACTGGGGCTGAGGGGAGCAGCGGGCGAGATAGGAGAGGTCTGCTGCACCATGTGGGTCAGCTCCCTGGCCAGGGATCAAACTTATGTTGCAGTGGTGGCCAATAGCTTCATAGTGGTGAGACAACCCCTTGTACCACCTGGGAGGCCACTAAAGCCTCTTTCTGGTTTATTCCATCTATATATTTCACTTTCTATGTTGTGAAGTCCATTCTAATAGAGTCTAAAAACCAGAAAGAACATGGCACATGGCTAAGGAAAGAAAAAATGACATGTGGCAGAGAAAGGCATCAAGAAGCTAAGGATGGGGCCTCCCCAGTGCTGCAGCGGTTGAGCGCTGGGCCCATGGCCTCTGTGGCGCTGGTTCGATCCCCGGCTGCTCCCCGGCCACCAGAGGAGGGTCCCACATGGTGCGCAGACCTCTCCTGCCGCCCGCTGCTCCCCTCAGCAGTGTACTTCGGTCCTTCTGCCTGCTCTGCTCCCCACTCTGGCTCTGGTGAATTCTCTCAGCCTCCCACGCTTCTGACTGTACCCAGTTCATGTATAAACAAAAACAAACAAACAAACAAATAAGTAAATAAAACATGCCTCTATAAAAAAAAAAAAGAAGCTAAGGATGGGGTTTAATTGTTTCATGCCCATCAGTAACAAATAAAACAAAGAAGGAAAGCAAGCCAGAGTCAAGATTCCAAGGATAATAATTGTACTAACAGTATAGTATATATCATTATATATATATGTATATATATATATATATATAGTGACATGTATTAGCAATGACAATACAGTGTGATCTAGTAGTATACTGTGTGATTTACATGGAGTATCTCATTTAATCACACCCAGCAATACCAGGTATGTACTATTAACATAAAGCACTATTATTGTGCCCTATTGACAGATGAGAAAGACACAGCTCAGAGTAGCTTTTTTTTTTTTTAATTTACATAGATAGTATGTGTCGGGACTCAAGTGGGATGAAAACAAGTATGTACACTTAACCTTTATGTTATCCCATAATTCTGAAGAAAGTGGCAGCAAAATATTCACTTTGGAGAAAAAAATGTGAGAGACTTCCAGGCAAATATCATACCAAAGATACTATATGTTCATATTCTAGACTACTTTTCGTTTATTCTTTTATAGTGCTCTCAAATTCTTCTCTAATTCTAGTTGACACTGATATTGCTTTTAGTTTAGTTTGTTTTTTTTTTTTTGAGGGGTACTGCATAAAATGTGTGGCCATGATAAGAAAAGGTCCTGGGTTGGCCATATACTTCATTACAATATAATGATACATTATTATTGTTGGCTTTTATTGTTACCTTTTATTTTCCAATAAAAGGTAAAATGCTGAATACAATTGACCTGGATTTGGGAGTTTTGTTTTTTTTTTTTTTTGTTTGTTTTTTTAAGTATGAAAATAACTGAAGAAAAGCACTGTGTTATACTTAACTAAAAATCCAAAAAAAAAAAAAAATCAAAGTGCTTCCTTATTCTTGGGACTTGACTTTCACTTGAGTTTGTACTTTAATTGTTTTTTCTCTGGAAAGCAGAGTTTCCTGTCATTTAAGTCTCCTTTCCATCCCAGTGATGGCTTTTCATCACTTACCCCCAGGGAAAGCAATGCCTAAAGTGAGAAACATATAA